TTTGGGCCTGCGTGGGTGATATTGTACCACGCAGGCAGGCAGACAAGCCATCGGTGGGTGCCACTAGCGCCAAAGGGGTGCCTCCACGGTAGCAAGAAATGCTTGGTTGATTGGATTGTGATAACTCCGAATTTGATGGGTTACCCGCTTGCGGTAGCAGCGCCATTTGCTATAATTTAGCCTCCCTTAATATTTTGGAAAATAAATAATTTCAAAGTGAACATGTATTCAACTGGTGTATAAGTGAGAAGGATTGTCAGGAAAAATGAGTAAAAAATAAAAGTGCAGTATATGAAATAATATATAAAAACATGTTGTATAGCATTAATCGTAAATGAAAACTGAGCTTTCCATCCCTTCGGAGCCAGTTAATTAGTACCAGACTATTCTGAGGGATACACCCTGACATTCACATTGGCCAGTCTCCGGAACTCGCAGTATGTTCCAAAACACTTCCAAATGCCCCAACTATTCTGGAAGGAAGTGAGTGCGTGGCGTGTATCGAAACGCGATCGATGAGTTGTCTTTTGATGCAAAGGAGCTTGCTTATTCGAAAACAACAAACTGATAATGAACTTCAAGGCGCAGGGTATAGTATGAACATACTATGAGGTTTCAGGCGAAAACGTCATAAAGGAAAAAGGGAGTCAATGACGTTTTATAAAGGAACCTAATCAAGTCTCTTCGATGTCCTAGATAGAAAAGGGCCATCGCCAGGACGCGACATCCTTATAAAGTCACTTTTAATGATTTGAGGTTTTATGACCTTCAAGGGCGGAAGTGGTGTAGTGACAAGTGGCGCTTACCACGCGAGCGGTCCGGGGATCAAATCCTGGGTCGTGAGTCGCCCGGGCCAACCAAGCCTTCCATCCCTCCGGGGTCGGTTAATTGGTACCAGACTTGTCTGGGAGGATAAAAACACTGACTTGAACATCGGCTGGCCCCCGCAAGTCATTGTATAGGCCACATCGCATTCAAACGCCACTACGAATGTACAAATGGAAGTAGAATGCGTGCCGCATCCCAAAAGGGCAAATGCTTTTTATGCTTTATCCTTTATTTTATGCTTTCAACAGCTTTACCTCATTTGTTACTAATCGAAAATGGGTCTGAAAATTTAGGTTCAAGAAGTGTTACTACTCTAACTCAAGAGTTTTGATATCTAATAGTAATCGAACAGGTGTTTCTTTTTTTTCGGCGTGCTTTTGAAGAATTATATAATACCCTTTCTCGAATAGAATTTGTAGACTTCATAAAAATAGGAATTCAGCTAAAGAATAAGGTTAGCCTTGTAAACAATCAAAACCGTTTATTTTTCTATAATTCCTAGTACGCCGTTTACAAAGCAAATATAACTACCGACTTCTCTCGAGCTGTACGATTTTTTAAAGTGCCTTTAAAGATCAGGTGGTACCCATTGCCTGGTTTTTTCACGCCTAAAAAACTAATTTTCACAAGAAGTGTAAACGGGTAAAAAAACAGCGAGGGAAAAGGTCAAAAAGAAGTTTAAAAGCGGAACTGCCGGTAATTCAGTAGCAACGACCTGACAAGTGCACGTTGTTGCTGGCATTCGTTGTACGCACGAAGGCCATCGAGTGGTACACAATGGCCGGTGCCCAGGCTCGCTCCGGGACACATATGGAATCACATAAGCAACGCCCCCATAAAAAACCCTTGCGCACGTTCAGTGAAGCGTGCCACGACATGTACTTAGCGCCAGCACTCTCTGGATAAATAAGTATTGCCACGACGTTAATTCTTCGAAGAAAGAGGTTCGATATGGCCTAACCAGCCAGTTTTCGAATCAATAACACCGGGGAAAATGGGTTAGGGTTGATAGACTCCGTGAGTGCAGCTTGGTCCGAATGGCGCTCGATGAGTGGCGTTCCCTGCCATAGAGTCATACAAACCGAAGTTCTACAGAAGTCGACCGACCAGTCGTCATTTACTGAGCAGAGGACCACGGTTAGATCACATTTGTTACGATACCATTAGGGTAGGTGTGGTTCCCATCGTTGATAAGATGCGCGAAGCTCGCCTTAAGGTGTACGATCACTCTCCTTCGCGCTAACGACGAGAGTGTCCGTAAGATCGGTCTAGACTTTAACGTGCCAGGAAAGCGGCCAAGAGGACGCCCGAAGCAACGATGGCACGATACGTTGCATGAGGACTCGAAATTGGCTGACATTCACCCCGATCAGGCACCCATTGGGAAAAGTGGAGTTAAGATACCATAAAGCGGATCAAACGCTAAAGAGAAAGAAGAGAATGGGACGGGTCTGGGTAACATAGCATAAGCTGAGCTTACTTGCTCTCCAAAGTGATAGAATTCGACGAATTTGAAGCTCGCTTTATGTTAAGGGTTACCACAACCGCTCCCTCCGAATAGGATCGTAAGTGAGGTACGAAAGGGTGACATCGTATAGAAATTCCCTCCGAAATTTTACAGACAAATTCATTAACACAAAATTTATGTTTTCGTTAGACGGATCTCAAAAGGATCAGAAAATATTTTTTTATTTCTTATTTGATGCATCCGGGGATGCGCTATTACCAAGATCTAAACTAGATCACATTACTAGTAATAAAGAGTGCAGGTGAAAAGTTCTCCAAAAGACAACGATGGACGATACAAGGTATTCACTAGACCACTTATAAAGCCTTGTTTGAGTTCAGTCGTGAATTGTTACACTAAAGCTATTGTATTCAACGGCGGATGGCGCTAGGGATAACGCCACTCCTAGACAAGCAAGTAAAAAAATATGAGGAATCAGAAACTGAATTTTCGGATGTTAGGTATTCCCTACCCCTAACAATTCAGTTTCCGACCCGCCTAGAAGAAAAATATGCATTGCATTAAATATTTAATAGCTTGCTAGGGATATCAGGCGGAAGTAGTGAAGGGCGCAGCCATCGCCTGATCCATACTCTCAAGGTCAACTGGAGGCAGGGAATTTTCCACTTTTACCGCTCTCCCTGGCGTGTATGAGCACATGAGCACAGAATCTGACATGGGCAATAAAGCAACTTATCTCGTCTACCTGAAAGGCACACCAGCGTTCCCTAAAGCCAAATGCACGGCTCATCGTGGGGGTTCAGCTTCATCATGGGAACAGAGTCTGTTCCTTTTCCCTTTTTCGGAAAATATGCAAATAATGCAACTAGCAGCGAAGGGGAAGGGAAACAACGAAAAGGAGAATAAGAGGTAACAAAAGCACAAGAGAGCTCTATAGAAGGAGAACAACAGCTTTGAGAAAGATGCAAAGGAAATGAGATTGAGACTGCGAGCTTCCGTTCCTACTCCTTCATGCTCACAGAATAACTCGACTATTTCTCAACATGGGCCGAGAGGCAATAAAAGAGGCTCCATTACGAAATATCTGCAGCGTTGAGCGTTCAGTGCTGTCGCTAGTGACATCGTCCAAAGGTTAAAATCGTGTTTTTCCGCGAGGCCAGTCGTTGATTTGCAAAATTGGCGTCATTCAGCGTCGAACGAAATTATGAGGAAAACGCCCTTCAATATTTCAAAATCGCCAGAAATCCAATTTGAAATGCAATATTCGTGTTGCATTTTCTAGTATTCTGAAGAGAATGTTGCCAGCATAGCGTTCGTCGTTCCATAACCGCCTTCGGATGAAGACGTTTCAGTTCTACTAAACCTTTATTATATGGATCTGGTGAGAAAATTATCGACCACATTTTTAACGCTAACAGCTTCTTAAAAAATTGTTCGATCGTATTCTCTTTGAGATATCGCCACGCACTTATATTTCCATTTGGAATCTGAGTGGCACTAGAAACAGCAGCTCTCATCAGATGAATCGCCAAATCTGCGCAACTTCTAAAAAATCTGAAGCAAGAGCCACACAAATTTTGCTCATGAAATTAGAAGAATTAGCCGCAGTCTGATTCTTCAAGTTCTCATTATTGATCCCTTGAGTGACCCGTTCATTACCATTGAAATGTAAACGATTCCGTAACACGTCAATTGTTGTAATCACGCTGTTGAATGAGGAGGTTCGCATTACGATTTTGAGAAGGTAGTAGCATTATAGTTAAAAGTAAGTACCTTGGGGCAAGTGTATGTCAGAATGTGTAAGGTGTAAAGTTGTGTTTAAAAAGGAATCTGTATTTGACGGGTTTTCCAGAGCTTGGCGAAACTTTCATGTTGGGTAATTAGATAAAATTAGTGAGTCATTCACATCGATTTTGATTTCTCCTCTCCCCCCCCCCCAAATATTGCAAAAACGCCAACTGGTGAGGGTGGTGACGGGGTAGGAAAAAAGGGTGTTCTGTGAGCTGATGAATGTTGGGGTCGCCACGATACTCCTGAAGCATGGGCTCGCAATGTTGGACAAAGGCGAAACACTACGATTGACGCCTGCTCGTTGGACGATCGTCTGATTGATCCCGACGAAATCCTATGGGAAATTAGATTCAAGGACACCATGCATGTTGTTACAGATCTACTTATCATCATTATCTCCGAGCAACTGCATAAGTGCACGTCTTCATTCTTTTGTAAGCTGCACAATAAGCGCCAGATTTTCCTAAAACTACAACATTCATTAATTTTGACTTGTTCTGATTAATTGGTTCTGCTCTTTGCCTAACAGTTCGCTATGCGAAACTGTTCGTGTTTTGATCATAACCCAGTTCCCGTGAGAAATATTCAACAACGTAGAAATTCAGATGATCATACCAATCTAATTGGTCCGATGATTTGCCAACGGAAATCGAAATAATGGCGCAGCCTTCAGTCACGTCAAACGCAAACGCAACATGCTTTCGTGGAGTCTACTTTGCCTTCTTTCCACTCGAATGGGTCCATCAGAAGTGAACCAAGGGGACCAAGTCTTGACTGGATGAAGGGATTATGCGTACGACAGTCTTATGAAGATACGCCACGCACACAATACTCATTCAAATTCAGCACCATTAAAGGTTTGGCCCATGCAATGATTACGGGACTGACTTATTTTTTCCATTTTTGTTAAGGGAGTGTGGCCAAGGGAACCCATTTCAAGCGAAGCTTTGTTTGCTTCATTGGTTACACTCTAGACAAAAGAATTACTGAAGGACCAGGTCAATATGAACTATGCTTAATCTCAATCTTTTTTGAATACCCAATGAAGAAAAGTTTGCCGCAGATCTCATAGATCCCGTGGATTTCGTTAGGTCCTACTAGTTACGATAATAGGCTCTAATGCAACTTTTTTCAGACTACAGTGCAGCATAAGCTGTTCGAAAGCCTTATAATTGGTCGCAGATGTTGGGTGTCCGCGATGGTGTGGCCATTCAGTGTAAATTTCATCAAAACGCTTGCCCGAACATGTCCAATTAGGCTATTACATCTCATGACCTTGCCCGATTTAACAAGGCGAAGCACCTTGCTAGTCTAGACAGCTACGGCTCGTATTTCACAGTGCAAAGACAATATTACCCGTTGACCATTTCTTTGGTTGGGCTGCTTGATGCGTAGGCGGTAGCCGCCACTTACCCTGCTTTCTGTGAAACATCTGTTCATTCGATTTCTTCTTCTGCGCTCATCGCAGCACGCGGTAGGTCCGTAAAGTTGTCGGTTGTTTTGTTCGACCTCTCCATTTTCGCCTGACCATATCAGATAAAAGGTTTGTACGGGCCTTTACTCCTGAAGGTGTAGCGGTGTTACGGTGTATCACAGGAGACTTTGCCTATATACACTTTATTTACATGGACTATAAGAACATAACAAGGGACAAGGTATAGGTGAGGAGATAAGATGTAGAGGTGAGGTGAGTCGGCCTCACGCCGACGGCCTAACTGTCGCTGGAAGCTGGGGGCAGCTTAAATACCTCCAGCTTAGGTTGCGAAATCCATGATGACGACTCTTAGCTGATTGATGGCCTCCGGCACCATCCGGCACGATGACGAGGCCTCCGGCTCGGATACGGGGACACGACATCTCCATTCCTTACAGTAAGCTCGTCCTCGAGCTTCAAGTTCCTTCCAGTGGTTTGCGATCCTTTAGAGAATCTCTTGTGATAGACTGAAGTGAGATTCATACCGGATCTTGTGATGATATAGCAAACGTGAAGAACGCTGGTGAGTTCAGAGAGTCTTACAATGATTTTGAGGGTACATTGGGCTACGTCTTTCACTCACTACAGCTCGGATGCGACTCGTTGGAGGTGGAAGTGTTGTGTAAGGAGTTCTGGTGCTTGGTGTGCGGTAACACTTCAGATAAAAGGTTGTACGGGCCTTTACCTGAAGGTGTAGCGGTGTTACGGTGTATCACAGGAGACTTTGCCTATATACACTTTATTTACATGACTATAAGAACATAACAAGGGACAAGGTATAGGTGAGGAGATAAGATGTAGAGGTGAGGTGAGTCGGCCTCACGCCGACGGCCTAACTGCTCGCTGGAAGCTGGGGGCAGCTTAAATACCTCCAGCTTAGGTTGCGAAATCCATGATGACGACTCTTAGCTGATTGATGGCCTCCGGCACCATCCCGGCACGATGACGAGGCCTCCGGCTCGATAACGGGGACACGACACCCCTCCTTGGCCCTGACGGTTAGTGAGGTTCCTTCTGTGACGTACATTCATCTCCCTTCTGATGCCACCTTGGCCTTGCACTCGGGAGGCCAGTAGCCTGTTCATCAGTTTTCTGCCGCTACACCTCGCGTGCTACGTGTCATACCATCTGTAGACCCCAAAATAACCAAGTTGTACATACCAAATAGGGCTCCCCTCGAAGTAATTGCGTCGAGCAAGGAATTAGTCCTTTCTAGAATCGCGACTCACGATATGAGGTAGTGCTACCTCAGTTTTAGGCAAACTCTCAATAGTCGAACCTGTAGTGCATTCTACTTCCATTTGTACGTTCGCAGAGGCGGAATGCGATGTGGCCTATACAATGACTTGCGGGGGCCAGCCGATGTTCAAGTCAGTGTTTTTATCCTCCCAGACAAGTCTGGTACCAATTAACCGACCCCGGAGGGATGGAAGGCTTGGTTGGCCCGGGCGACTCACGACCCAGGATTTGATCCCGGACCGCTCGCGTGGTGAGCGTGCCACTTGCCACTAATCCATTGGCCATCATGCTAGTTTCATAAAACTTCCAAATGTAGCAAAAAACAGCAATTTAATTGACTGACAACGTGAGTCACCAGCAATATTTCTCTCTAAATCTCCATTTGCGAAACATGTGCATGAGAGAAATTCGACGTAGATAGATGACCTAATGACAGAACCAATTTGCCATATGAGCTCATAATATGAGCTACACATACCAGAGTTGGCAAATGAGTTATACTCCTCCTCACTTTCCTCCTCCCATTTCCTCATTTATTATTTCCCTACACATTCCCCCTGGATGGCGAAGCGTAAACGAAATTGGACTTTGAGTATCTAAATAGTTGGAAGAGACAAGCGATAAAAATAATTCTTCATAAAATTATAGCCAAGACAGGGACGATGCAAACCCTCCAGCCACAACTCCTCGTGTACCTAATCGAGGGCTCGTCTGCAATTTGGGTTTATATTCATTTGTCTCCAAGTTATTTCTTGTTGGAAACCCGGCACTATTGGTCGAACTGTTTGATTCTTCTGTGCCAAGCGAGGTTGATAGTTGGAACCTTTTATTGAATGGCCCGACGTTTCGACCTTTTCGTCTTCTTCAGAGGCCTGAAGATAGCTCGAAGCTTTTTGATTTTGTAAGCTACCCGACCAAGCATCTCCCCCTCTAGCGTTTCCGACGTCGTGTTGAGAAACACCTCGGAATCACCCTGTACGATAAAGAACTCACCAAAGGTTCCACCAGCACTGCGGAGCATTTAGCTCACGCCCTTTCATTGACTTTTTGTGCATCAGAGTGTGGTTTGCAAAAATGGGCTACGTACCTTATGATAGCCTTTGACCGATATGGCAGCGTGAGACTTCAGTGAAGTTCGTTTGCCCATGTACTAACATTCACTGACAGGTGCGTGAGCTAAATGCTCCGCAGTGCTGAACCTTTGGTGAGTTATCGTACGGGTGATTCCGAGGTGTTCTCAACACGACGTCGGAAACGCTAGAGGGGGAGGTGCTTGGTCGGGTAGCTTACAAAATCAAAAAGCTTCGAGCTATCTTCAGGCCTCTGAAGAAGACGAAAAGGTCGAAACGTCGGGCCATTCAATAAAAGGTTCCAACTATCAACCTCGCTTGGCACAGAAGAATTGAACATATTCACTAGTCTTCTGTGTGTCAGAGTTCATCATAAAAAACTTCTAAAATGAAGCTCGAGAAGGGAATTTCAAAGTCTGCTTCTTCCATGTGTCAAGTAGGGATGCATGTCAACAAAATAAGCAAATATAATACAAGCACTTTCTAGGCTCGTATGACAAACCCCGAAAAATGCAAAACTTTTCACGTATGAGGATTGGAACATACGACTCCTCCAGTAGACCTAGACCTATCCACTGTGCTATTTCGCCAACCGGCATGCTTCTAAGCGAAGCGAGGGGTATAGGGAGATGTGGAGGGGGCCACAGTGAGAAAAATCCCTCGTAACTTCCTTGAGGGAATCATTTCGCAGAGATAGAAAATGAATTTTGGAAGTCAGCGCCTCTGATACCATAAACTGCATGTTTTCGGACTACGCCTGCATTTACAATGGCCGACTCAATGTGAGCATTTCCTTGGTAAGAGGTGCCTACGTAACACTTTCGCACAACTGTCGGCCCTTACCGTGTAGGATTTCTTAAAGGACGAATTCACGATTAGAATGAAGGTCGAAGAAGGAGTAATTCACCTAGTTGAGGGACCCGCGGACCTCCTAAGGGTGCGGACTGAAGCGCAATTGGCACCGAAGGAGTTGACCTCGGCGACCTATTAAGGGCTCAATCTTGGCGCGGTGGGCCAGTGCACGCCCACCGATCATCTGATCACTCGCCGCAGGTCTATACGTGGCGAGTGATTAGATAGGTGAGAGAGCGTAGTGTTGAAGAGGGCACAGCGATGATAGTCGCATCAATGCTCAAATCAACGGGCAAGGAAGGGGTCCCATTTCTCGGGTTCTGGGCCGTTTCTCATGGTTTTCCTTCTTTCGTGTACCACTCACCATCCCTAGGTTAATTTGAAATGGGTTGCCTTTCCAGCGTGACCTTTAAGCTTCCAAATAAACAGACAAATTCTTCTTTTTTCAGGCCAGCAGCACACTTCGCACTTTTTCTTCCATAGAGGGCAGCCGACGTTTTTTTTGTGTCTTCTCCTATCAGGATATGCTGAGTGTTTCTCATATACTAACAATACCGTTTCGTTTCATGTCTATTTGCCTTAGACGACGTTTCCCCTATCTCACGGCTGCGGCGCATAACTTCGAGTCGTATCTGGGCTATTATTTTCGCACT